AAATAAAAACAGAAATTGCTGGAAAAGCTCAGCAGGTTTGGCAGCAGTTGTGAAGAGAAATTACAGTTAATGTTTCGGGTCCGGTGACCCTTCCCTCAGTTCTTCAGTTCTGAGGAAGGCTCACCGGACCCAAAACATTAACTCTAATTTCTCTTCACAGATGCTGCCAGACCTGCTCAGCTTTTCCAGCAACTTCTGTTTTTGTGTCCACTGTGATTATGTAGTTAATTGCATTAAATCAGCACCCACTGATTAGTGCTCCCCACACAGTTTCTTGCTATCTACTCTATTGAAAGCCTTTGACCATTTAGAATCACTATTATAACTGGTATCTGCATGTATCACTTACCTCTAATATGATACACTCTTTTGGGATGAGGGTTGTTCCGGCTGTAAAAGAAGTGATCAGCGGGAATAGCCTGCTTGCAGTTACTGTTGTTTCCAGGACGAGGTGTGTAATTTCCGAGGGAGGGGAGAGGTGCTTGCCATGCTCTATTTCGGGATGTTGATTCATTTTTCAATGCATTGTCAAATCTAATGGGAAAACAAGGTGTACAACAAACCACGATTCAGGCACAATACTGTAGAGACGTAGAGTCGTACAGATATACGCCACAGAAACAGACCCTTTGGTCCAACTTGTCCAAGTCGACCAGATATCTTAAGTAAACCTAGTCCCACTTGCCAGCATTTGGCCTATATCCCTCTAAACCCCTCCTATTCATGTACCCATCTAGTTGCCTTTTAAATGTTGAAATTGTACCAGACTCGGCCACTTCTTCTGGCGGCTCATTCCATACACACACCACCCTCTGCTTGAGAAAGTTGTCCCTTAGGTTTGTTTCTCCCTCACCTTAAACCTATGCCCTCTAATTTTGGACTCCCCTACCCTGGGAAAAAGACCTTGTCCATTCACCCTATTCATGCCCCTCATGATTTTATCAACTTCTATAAGGTCATCCTTCAGCCTCTGACACTCCATGGAAAATAGCCCCAGCCTATTCAGCCTCTTCCTATAGCTCAAACCCTCCAACCCTGGCTGGAATTTTAACAAAAATGCCATGCTGGAATCAGCCAGTCAGGCAGCATTTGTGGAGAAGTTAACTCTGTTTCATAATCTTAGTTCTGAACAACCTACGAAACTTTCACATTGGCAAATTTCAAGGTTGTGGGTTCCTTGAACAGAAACAACTTGCAGCACCTTTAGCATAGTCAGACATCCCAAGGGGCCTCTCAGAGACATTGGGAATATAGAAACACCCAACTAAATGAAGTGGCCGTACGACAGATGACCAAAAACTTGTCTGTTAGGTTTTAAGGAGTATCTTAAAGGAGTGAGATTCAGTGGTTTTCAGAATGCTAAGGGACTTTGCTAAGGGTTAGGGTTAATTTTCCAATTGCAGAATTCCACCACAGAGCTTCATCCTTCCTGAACATAAATCAAGAGATTACGTTAATGGTCTATGATTCATTGTCCATTTATTTGAATGGTTGGTTAATCATAGCGTGCTCCCAATATAGGTTCCTTGGGAAGGAAGGGTTCTTCACTGGGAGTGTATAAACAGTGTATAAATAAGTGGGAGTGTATAAATTCACTCTACAGTCCTAATTCTCCTGAGACTCATCATCTGCTGTATTTAACCAGTGATAGATGAGCAGAGAGGTTAAGGGAGAGAATCCCACAGCTTAGGATCTAGAAAGGTGTTGGCATGACCACAAATGGTGGAGCAATTAAAATCAAGGATGTGCAAGGCAGCACAACTAATGTGATTGTAATAGTCAAAATGAAGGAATGAAACAAGAAACAGGGAATTATAAACCACGAGCGATGAGATGAGTGACAGCATTGACCAATAATGTTATAAATGTTCATCTAGAGTCTGTAGAACTCGCCATTTTTTTCCAGTTTTTATTTGCAACTTTGAGTCTCATCAGTTTACTGGAATGATTTGAAGAGGTTACTCAAATTAGTGATGATTAATGTACACTGTCCGCAGACGGTTCACACAGTCCTGCCTGTGGGTTTTTCATGAATTACTGAATTTATGCTCAACCAGCCAGCTGGAGTTGGCTTTGCAACAGACTTTTAAATGAAACCCAGAAAGAGGGCAAAGGCTGGATTCTGGCCATTCCACCACAACTAGACACCATTATGTTGCATAATTCAGAACTCACACAAAAGCTGTCAATATCAGAAAGATCTCGGCATAACGTTTTCAAGTTGTGAGTCATGTATCTCAGCGCAGAGCTC